TCAGTTGAGGCTGCGTGTGATGATGTATGTCTGGGGACTGCGTGGGCAGCATCCTTCGTTATAAGGATCCTGACCCGGATCAGGGATTAGAGGGGCATGAGGCTCAGATGATTGCTCCCTTTTCCTTGATCTGAAGGGACAAAAGGGAAACCAAATCTGAACTCATCCTACCCTACCCTCGATCCATGAGAGAGGTGAAAACCACAACTCCTTTCACATGTGTTGATTCACATTTTGAATCTTCACTGTCTCTCGTTCTTGTGGGAGTTGTAGTTGTCAGTATTTGTAGGCGCAAATTCTGGCAACACTCCATGTCCTGATCAGTGTTAGCTGAGAGTTAACAATCTTCCCTCTTCCCGACATTGTGTAGTGAGTGCCATTGTCCCAGGCTTTTAACCTTCTACCCCGGGCTCCTTATCTGTTTGATAAGTTGAGCACCAACAAATCTATTGTTGACAGCCTGGATGATAATTAGTTATGCTTCTTGTGGTGATATTACTTGTCCTACTCATGATCTCTTACTGCAGCCCTTCAGTTCTACTAACCGACTTGCATCCGGTCTATGTCTACTAAGGGGTACACACCCGGTCCGACGACTATAACCAGCAATTCCGAGTTTCCTTTCTACTGACATCCCAGTTTACTATGGAGATCAGGAGTATAGGAACTGTATTGCGGCAATAGGGTGTCGTTCACGGATCTCAACTTTTCACAAGTGATCGATTGCGTAATAGTCAAAAACCAGGTTATCCGTGGTTCTTGATGCAATCGAGACCGACTGACACTTTGAGGTTGCCTCCTCCTGACCTTATTGCTACAGCACAGGTCAAGGGCATAGGTTACCCTGTGAGTATCTCAGGTTTTCCTCTTCAGGCAAGAGTGTTATCTCCATAACTCCCTTCATCTGCTGGTTCATTACCAGAAAGTGAAGCGTGGGCGCGGAGGTCCGTTCTCCCCGGGGGGGTAAGTATGTRATGAAACCTGCAGATTCTCAATGGACTGTATATTAGGCTGAGGGCGAAGCTTGGGGCTTGCCTCGGTCTGGTCGCGTCGTAGGTTCGACTTCCGCTGTTTATCCCTACCTGTGTGCAGTGTGGACTCTGTCTCCTCTCCCCCCTTCTCTTATGCATGTATGGGCATGTGTGAGACTGTAAGTGTGTGAGTGGCGAGAAAATTCGCCAAGACAACCAAGTTCATAACACCTGAGTAAGCCATGCAGAAGCACTGCCGCAGCGACTTGTGCRAGGTGGTCTGCAGTGAGCCCGAAGACGAAGTGGGCGAGAAGGAGAGTTTACCCATAGTGATAGGGGTAGCAGTGGCCATAGCAGCCATAGCTGATAGAAGAGTGTAGCGTGTGTGTGTGTGCGTGTGTGTACAATTTGACGTGTGTGGGATATCCAGGGTGATCCTGTGTGTGAACAAAGAGTTGGGTGAGTGACAAACAAATGGTTGTATAGGCCCTCAGAAAAAAAAAAAGGCCGGGTTCGAAACGGTGCGTTCGAGGCCCCCCGCCAAAATTATAAGCGAGATGAAAAATATATTTACAGGAGTACTGGCTCAGCTTGCTCCTCCTGCCCTGCGTCATCCTCCATGTCTCCTCTTCCCTTCTCCTTTTCGTCTCCTCCTCCTCCTCTTGCCCTTCCTCGTCCTCCTTGTCTCCTCGTCCACCTCGTATTTCCTCATCTTCCATGCCTCCTCGTCTCATTCCCTTCCTTGTGTCCTTCCCTTCCTTG